CTTCATCTAGCTACCTAACGGTCACCAATGGTGTACCACAAGGCTCAGTTTTAGGTCCCACTCTTTTTACAATTTAGGTAGATAATCTAGGTCAAAACATTCCTGACACATCCTTGCATCTCTATGCCAACAACATTCTTGTATTGCCGAGCTAACATGGTTGCCAAGGTTTTCCAGCTTCTACAGTCTGCATTTGATATCATTCAGTCAGACTTATTCCATCTCAAGCTGGTACTAGATACTGACAAGACCAAAGGGATGTTGTTTTCAGCAGAAAGCCGGTGCCAGCAACTCTTCCTCCTATCTCATCCATGCACAGTGTTCCTATTGAGTTTGTAGATTCTTACAAATACTTGGGAATTTTGGTTGATGCACATGTCTTTTTTTTTTTAACTACATATTGAAAACTTGATAAAGAAACTGAAATTAAAACTGGGTTTCTTTTTTGAGAAATAGATATTGCTTAATTCTGAATGACAGAAAACGCCTTGCAACCACAACCTTCCTACCGGCTGTTGGCTATGGTGACATTATTTACATGAATGCCCCTACCAGCTCGTACCAGCTAAGAGATCAGATTGTAACTTATGTACATATACATTTTTTTCTTTTTTCTTGGTGTTAAAGTGCTATGAACTGTTAAACTAAACACTTAAAACACAACAGACTGGCTGGCTCCATGTCTCGCTGTATGCTGCTTGCAGGTTTGTTATATGTTTGTGCAAACTGTGCCATTAAAACCCATCACAAGTCTGTCCAATGATGCTCTTCATAAACCTTTGCAGGTACCAAAGCAATGATGCCACTTTGGCACTTTCAATCTTTGAACATCAATGATCATGACTTTTGCCAAACAAATCAAGCTCCAACACAGCTTCAGAAACACTGTTTTTATTTTTTTTAGTTTTTTTATATACATGCTCTAGAGCTTCAGCTTCTGACAGCCCATCACTACTAAAATTCAAATTATTAAATGCAAATCATGCATCTATTACTTTCAGCTTGAAAAATATTAGTTTTATTATATTTAAAATAATCTTGAATTCAAGCCGAAAAGCATTTGAAATCAATTTGCCTTCACATAGAAGTTCCACAAGAAACGAATCATAGCATCATCCCCTGAAGGTCATAAACAATTAGAAATTTAAATGGCTGTAAAAGGATGAAGTAATCAGGGTAGTTAAAAATGATGGAAGACTAAATAGTAATGTAATCAATAATGTTAATATTTTGAACCCAGGTTGTCTGGTTGGCAGGCAAGGGCTCATTCCTCTCATCTATTACTTCACTGAGCATGCTAGCAGTTGTGTGTGTGTGTGTGTGTGTGTTTGCGCGTGTGTGTGTGTGTGTGTGTGCATGCGTATGTGCATGTGTGCACATGTGCAGGCATGCATTTGTTACCTTCTAAGGCCCATTTTTCCAACACATACTACATTGTGAGGACCAACTGCTCCTTATGAGGGCTAAAGTCCGGACCCCATAAGAAGCAGTGCCATTTTTGTCTTAGGGGTTAGATTTAGGACTAAGGTGTGAATTGAGAATGAGTTAGGTTTAGGGTTAAGTATGTACAGGTAAAGGTTAGGTTTAGGATAAGGGTCAGGGTTAGGCTTTATAAATGAATAGAAAATGAATGAAAGTCAATGCAAAGTCCCTGTAAAGATAGCAAAATATACTTTTTGTGTGTATATGTGGCCTGCGGCGAATCAGAACTGTGGAGGCCAAAGACTGAGGATGCTCAGACTTAAAAGCTTTGCTCAAATTATGCCAAACATGATGGAACCATGTGTGAAATATTTAAATGATAATGTAAGTAAATAAATGAACAAATAACTATTACTATTTTTTAACAGTACAGTCTTTTAGTCTATTATTTATCTTTTAGTCTTTCAGTCTATTATTTAAAAGGCAAAATATTAACTTTAGACTTGCAGTATCTATTACTTTCAGTTTGAAATTAGCATTATTTAAGGCATATTAAAAATATTAGTATTTTCGAAATTTTAAATATTAAATATATTAAACCTTAAACATTTTTATTACTTGTAGTTTAAAAATGGCATAATTAACATCATATTAATAACATATTCAAATTCAAAAAAATTCAAAAATACTTTATTAATCCCAGAGGGAAATTATTTGTTGTTGTAACTCATTATCCTCATTTCATTAAGAGATGTTATAGATACTGATGGCTGTAGACTGGAAGGATCTCTTGTAAAGGTCCATCCCACAGTAGCTCCTAAGAAACTGGCCGCAGATGCCGTCTGATCTGTCCACCTAGACTCAGCTGGCCTCTCGGTTCCCCCGGGCTGTAGGGCCGCCCGAATGCCGGGCAGAACTCCTCCCAGAGCGATGGCCACTCCTCCCAGCAGTTTGCCGAGCTCCTCATCGCTGTGGACAGCCAACTGTAGGTGCTGAGGGATGATCCTGTCCTTCTGCTGTCATGAGCCATGTTTCCTGCTAATTCCAGGTTCTCAGTGGTCAGGCACTCGAGCACAGCTAGCAGGTAGATGAGAATGCATCTACAGAACATCCTTTTCAACTCCTGGGGTTTGGGGCTGTAGTTGAGATATTATTTGAGCTTTTGAGATGTTAATCAGCTGCTGTTGGTTGTAGAAAAACATTCTTGAATATATTTATTATAATACTGATATCAATAACATATTAGTATTACAGTATAATGCTGATATCAATAACATACCTGTATTATTATAATACTGATATCAATAACATATGGTATGTTATTGATATCAGTATTATAATAATACTGGTATGTTATTGACA